GGGGCGGGGCCCCGCCCTATGACGTCACTCCCGCCCCCGCCCCCCCACGCATGGCGGCAGAGGAGGGGAAGTTGTTTGTGGGGGGTCTCAACTACGACACCGATGAGCAGGGCCTGGAGCAGCACTTCAGCTCCTTCGGGCCCATCTCCGAGGGTGAGGGACCCCAAAAATCCCCAAAATTACCCAAAAATTACTCCCGGGACCCCCAGAAATCCCCTGGGAGCTCCAAAACCTTCAAAAATCGTCATAGAATCCCCAAAACTGCCCCTGGAACCCCTCAAAGCCCTTCTGGAAGCACCACAAATTTGCCCGGAACCCCAAAAACTACACAGGATTTCTAAAAATCCCCCTGGAACCACCAAAACCTCCCCAGGACCCCCCCAAACCTTCCCAAGATTCCTAGAAATCCTCCAGGACCCCCAAAAATCCCCCTGAAACCACCAAAACCTCCCCAAGAACCACCAAAACCTCCCCAGGATTCCTAAAAATCCCCCTGGAACCACCGGAACCTCTGCAGGAATCATCAAAATATTTCCAGGATTCCTAAAACTCCTCATGGAGCCCCCAAACCTCCCCAGGAAACACCAGAACCTCCCCAGACCCTCCAAAAATCCCAAAAATGACCCAAAAATTATCCCCGGGACCCCGAAAACCCCCTGGAGCATCCAAAGATTCCCCCCTGGAAATGCCACAACCTCCTGAAGAGCCTCCAAAAATCACTGGGGACCCCGAAAACCTCCTTGGAACCTCCAGAACTCCCACTGGAACCACCACAAATCTGCCCAGAACCCCAAAACTTCCCCAGAATTTCTAAAAATAGCCCTGGAATTACCAAAACCTCCCCAGGACCCCCAAAATTTCCTCTGGAACCACCAAAACCTCCCCAAAATCCTCATGGAATAAAGTAGAGAATTAAGTTAATACATGGAAATAATTCAATTTGTACAATTTAATTCATAGCGTGTAATTTACAGGATTAAGAAACTTATTTTATAGGATTAACGTCATTTGTCAAGTCAGTTTAATATATCAGATTAATTTAATTTCTAGGAATTTCAATTTCCAAGATTTATAAATTCAATTTATAGATTAAATTCCACTTTTAATTTTTAATTAAATTAAAAATTTAAATTAAATTAAAGTTAAAAAAGATAATTTTAAAGCTGGAATTTCAGGGTTTTTTTTTTCAAACCCCATTTTTTAGTGGATCCCAACCCTTTCCCCCTTTCCCAATGATAATTTGGGGAGGGGTCTCACCCCCCTGACCCATTTTTTCCCCTCTTTTCAGTGGTGGTGGTGAAGGACAGAGAGACCCAACGTTCGCGGGGCTTCGGCTTCGTCACCTTCACCAACCCCGAGCACGCCAGCGACGCCATGCAGGCCATGAACGGGGAGGTGGGGCTGGAATCGGGGAAAATGGGGCTGAAATGGGG